CTGGGTTGGAGGCCATCGCGGCCATTGCTTCTAGGTTGGAGGCCATCACAATTAGGTTGGAGGCCATTGCTTCTAGGTTGGAGGCCATCGCTATTAGGTTGGAGGCCATTGCTTCTAGGTTATTAGTTTGGACCGATCCTGTGTTTCTGAAGATTTTGCAAGGGTTTTGCGGCCAGAGTTTACGAGCCGTTTGCCAACAACATCATCTCAGATCAGTATATAATATATAATGTGTTTCTCCATTAGCCAAGTTGAAACCCTCTCCTTAGGCGGACCCGCGCTTGGTGGTAGTGGAGCACCGGAGACCGGCAAACAAGCCTCCAACTCCAAAAACGCTTGAAAAGTCCAGGGTCCTTTCGAATGGAATTCCATGGAGGTTCCGTTCTGGTCCGATGTTGGCACCTCCTGTAGAATCTGCTGGTCGCGATCTGCTTGTCTTTCATCTTCATCGACAACCTTAGAACATTCCACAAAACATCACCAACCCAATAGGGTGTGTACAGTGGAGGCTCGCCTCTTCGTATTCCTCACCTTGAACGGCATAGGAAGCAGAACCGGCGAAACCGCCGTCCTCCTGCATTCAACGTGTCTGTTAGAGCACCCGGATGCTCCGCTTTGTGAAAACAGAAGTGCATTTTCACCCAATAGAGTTTTCCCAAACATCACCCTCAACCAACTTAACGCAGCCCAAACAGTGCGTACTCAACTCCCTGTCGCGACAGTTTCTACGCGGCTTCTACTGTTCATGACTTGCGGAAGCTTCGACGATGCATTCTAACAGAGCCACGCTTCGACACCCGTCGCCCAACCTTAACTGCAGCCCTGACAGTGCCCATCTCCAATTCTCTCATTCCCTTCCCCATCGAAAACTGCGCCATTCTTCGCATCACCTTCCTAGGGCAACCACCACCTGAAGGCCACCCTTATCCCTCTCAGTTCACAACGGTCATTGCTGCCCCACACACACACACACTTTATAGAAATGCGTACTGATTTAGTTGCGGTTTGCCACACGCCAGCCTAAGTGAAAAAACATAAGAGACAAGCAGGTACAGGAAGGTGATCAGCCTTCCCTTCCCATCCATGACCGTAGCTTCGTTGCACACGGTAGGTCATGGATGCCGCGTGCCCCTGCAGCTGTAACAACCTTCAAAGACAATCCTAAAGGATCCCAGTGATTCCAAGGGTTACACACACACGCCTCCCCGAAGGGAGGCGAGAAAAACTAAGGTTAGGACAAATGTGCACGTGCGCACGCAGCAAACACAAAAAGATGAAGACATGAAAAGAAGACAAGACAGGACAAAAATGTGCGTAGCTGCGATGAAAGGGGAACCAAGTGCACAGGGACAACCGATGAACCCCACCTCATTGTGAAAACCTGGGCGACCTGAAACCTGGGTTTAGATTAGAAGTACAAGTATGTGTGCACGTACACACTAAGGCCGGGATCGGTGTGTACGCAAAAGAAAGAAGGAATGAAATGCCAAGACATGAAGACAGGAGGACATGAAAGAAAAGAGGAGAACAAGTGTGTGTGAAGGGGAAAAGTGAAAAGGGAAACAAGTGGAGGGAACAGGAGCCGATGAAGCCACACCTCATTGAAAACCTGTTGCAATGCCTCTTTTGTATGTGAACGCATCGCGCGCGAGGTTCCCAGCTACGACACAAGCGTCCAAGGACACACCAAGAGAAGCAGCTATGACGAAAGCATCCAGGGACACCCAAACAAGAAGGAGGGAAAAGAAAGAAAAGAGAAAAGAGAGAGAGAGAGAGGAAAACGAAGTGCACAGGTGTTCCCAGCTACGAGCAAGGGTCCAGGGACACACCAGGGAGAGGGGTGAACCTGAGTATTACATTCAGGAACCCCAACAGGCAAAGAAGGAAGAGAGGGAGGGTAGGGGGAGGAAGGGGGCTTGAACAAGCTTCCGCCGCTGCGGCCGCGTACGCTGTGCCAAAATGGCTGGCTGCTCTGACCGCTATGGCCACCTAAAGGCATGCCAATATGGCGGCCAGCTTGGAGTTCAATAATTCGTCAAGTCCGCTGCAGCTGCAACAACCTCCAAAAACAATCCTAAAGGATCCCAGTGATTCACACACACAGAGACAACCATCTCCATCAACTTCCACATTCTTCGAAAGCATTCTTCAATCAAACTCGTGACAAAGGAGGCTCGTGGTTCTCCAGTCTTCCTTGAACCTTCTGCCCCGGGCGTCAGTGTCACTTTTGGAGGATAGTCTCACATGTAACACTCGTCTTGAAGAAAGCGCGCGTCCATGTCAAGTGCTGCAGCGTCTACGGTGGCAAAACGGCGCCGTCTATGCTGCGTCTACGGTGGTGGCGGGGAGAACCGCTCGTGAAGTCGTGCAAGTGGCACGTTTCTACCATTAGTAAAGGGGATATATTTTCTAATGGTTTGCTTTGGGGTTTGGTTGACTGTGGTACCGGGCAGTGAACACACACTTGGGCGGGTGGGGTAAGTAGGTTTCTTGTTCTTGCTGTACCAACTGGCAGCAATTTCCACACTCCCATAGTCCCAAAGCACTACCATAATATACCATAATGGGTTATCTCCCCGCCACATGTGTTAAAGTCAAGCGGTGGTGGGTTCTCACACATGACCACCCCCGCCACCCTTGAGCCCTGCGAATCTTCGGCTTCGTTCGACCCGCGCGATCCCAAAAAAGTTCACGCCTGGTGGTCTCACAGCACATCGATGCGCAAACCCGTCCGTGAACCATCCGGAACACAGCGCTCCCCTTTGTTGTGTATCCGTTGTCTCCAATACTATGAGCGATGGCCTCCAACCTAGAGGCAATGGCCTCCAACCTAGAAGCAATGGCCTCCAACTTACCAGCGATGGC